TCATCATTTCTGTTAAAAATTACACGCCACATAAACTAAACACCTTACTTAAGGAAAGAATGGTTTCCATACAGTTATAACTCAGAAATCATGGCTCACTACCATGGAAACCGTAACCTCCATACAAAGCACGTTTATTTTTCATACTATATAATCAATTTATCTCTTTGACATCCTGGAAAAGATCATTCGTTGTCAGCCCACAACAAACACGTCCATTTTCACTGTTAAATATGAATTTACGCTTTGTGCTTAATTTGATTTAAGATTTGATTTTATCATGGTAACCATCAACGGTAATGACCAAGGTCTACTAAGGTCAAAGCGACGCTTAGAATGATAAAAGCAAATGATCCATGTTATTTATTGTAATTTATAAAACGACTGAGAAACAACGGGCGTCTGATCGATAAAAATCGTTTTTATTTCACCGGTAAAACCATAAACAATTAAAGATTATTTTATAATAAAAATAAACCGCACTTTCTCCATAGGTTTCCCGGCGTAATAATCCACTCGAGATGTTGGTGGAAAACCAAAAGAGTTTATAAATCCCTCGCCTCCGGCTCGTGACCGACAAACTTTTCTTGCATTCTCCCAAAAATGCCCCGTGGTTATTACGCCGGTAAACTGATAGTGAGTGCGATCTATTGCTTAAAAAAATCTCAGAATATCTGGGCTTCGCAATTTACAATTATTTAACCACCTCCCGGTTAGCTCAGTTGGTTAGGTCTCGTCTCCTGCATCTATTAATTAGTTAATTTGGTCAGGCAGGGGACGTTAACGAGATTACTGTGATGTGGTCTGGCCTGTTTACTGGGAATTGGCGAATGAATTAAATGTAAAAATTAAATTAATGATTATCCTGAGAACTTTTAGACAAATTCTGTTATTATTTCTCTTTCTCTTTTCCCGATCACTACGCCTTCATCATTCATGACCGTGGAAGTATGCATAAGGCTTGGTAAAAAGTAAATATAGTGAATGGCTTGAAACACCGATCGATGAGTTTTTTAGGTGGTGAAAGATCGGGCTGTTAAATCCGAAAGTGACTAGTAAGACTTCTCGTGGAAGGGTCAGATTTGCTCTTCGTTTCCTGATAGCCAAATGCTGATATAGAATATTCAACCACCAACATCTCTCTTTGTGGTAAATTCGTTTACTCTTAATTTTTTGAGTCGTGATCAATGAGAGAAAAGTTAAAATAAGCCATTGAAAATCTTCTCAGTTAGTTTTTTTGTGGCCTTAGTGGTTTCCACTTTGAAAGCACCATTTAAGAGTCAAGATTGACGAAGAAAACATTTTGTTCTGCACTAATCTACATTCCTCGTCACAGCTGTTGATACATTTGCCAAATCCCCTACCAAGGGAGCACGGCAGAATTTATTTTCCCTTGATTTCGGGCGTCTTTCCCGTATTTCGAGTCGCTATGTTGCTTTTCCGCTTTTATCCGCTGACCGCTATGTTGAGCCGCGAAGCGGCGACTTTCCGAGGTGAGTACGAAGTCTTTTACAATACTCTCGCCGCTTCGCGGCTCGCCTAGCCCCTTCGAGGCTCATTCGTACTAACCTCGGAAAGTCGCTGCTTAGCGGCTCAACATAGCGGTCAGCGGATAAAAGCGGAAAAGCAACATGGCGACTCGAAATACGGGAAAGACGGCCGAAATCAAGGGAAAATAAATTCTGACGTGCTCCCTTGCCCCTACTTTCTCCTCCCTCCCAAACTACAATGATGGTGAATTAGAATCAAAACAATCATTGCTCCAAGAAATATCTCGTCGCAAAGTCAGCAGTCACAGGACTCTGACTATGAAACATCAACGGGACTGGGAACTACGACAGGACTATGAGACTTGATAAGTACCAGTGAAATGAATTTCGAGTGGGTAACCCTGCGTGAAGTTGTGACATTGCAAAATGAAAAAATATCCAGCATGTTACTTTAAAAGGAAGGTCCTACGATAACAGAGGGAAAGGTTGTTTCTGTACTTAGGGGTTAACTCAAATTCCTATTCTAAAATTTTTGTCTTTTTTGGTAGAAATACCACTCACACGCAGAAAAAAGGTTCGCTTTCATTCAAGTGTTGTAAAAGACTTTTCAAGGTTGAACGCGTCATGCACGCTTTCCAATTGTTCGAAGCTTATCATTAAGAGTCATCAGAAATCATTAAGTGCTCGGACAGGTCGGTGAAATTTCAATAATAATTTCGTTTTCTTAGCCTTAATAAATTTGTTTATTTTCTCCAATTCCTACCTCAGAATTTTTGACAACTTTGATGAGAATCCTACTTTGATTAGGCCTTTGATTTGTCAGCGATGAGGAAATAATATAATATAAAAGAAAAATCAAGAAATCAGCAAGATTATTATAAAACCCAGAGCATAAAGAACGTTCGAAAAGAGTTTAGGGCGAACTAACTTGGCAGTCTTGGCGGCTTTGAGTTCTTTGAGTTTTTAACGAACGAAAAAAAAAACAAAAAACGGTCGACTGGAAGATTTGTTTGCTAACGATGATTTAAATTAACAAGCCTGTTTCACCACGAAACTGTTTTCAAGTTCTCAGACGCATCATTGAAAGGCGCTACGTTTCATTGACTTAACTTAATAAAGCGGAATAAAGTGATTCAGTTGAGTAGCCTGGATTACATAAACGTTAAACAGTCAGCCTTGTAGCCTTTATTACATCATCGAAACGGCACGTGCGGGTAATAGCTACGCTTCTGACTAATCACAGCGCGTAGTTTATTAAACCGTAACGGTTTGTTTTGGTTACCTCATCTCCCGGGAACTAAGCCGACATTCTCTTAAGAAGAACTCATAACTTTTGACTTCAATATCTTCGCCTAAACAAGATTAGGAAGCCGCTACAGATTTTTATTCTGCACAGTGAGGAATGGTTAAGCCTTATTAGCTACGCCTAGATCTAATGTAATGTTAATCTTTTTGGGCTACACTGTAACACCATATATTTCTTATTCGTGAACTGAGGTTGTTTCATTACCAAGAGACAGATAATACACTTATGAAATATTGCTGTGTACAGTGGAATTCACCAAGAATCACCAGCTGAATTAATTTTTTTTCTGGCAAGGTAAGGGTTCCTACGCAATATTTTATCTTGTTGTGTTAGTCCACCGTTGTAAATTAATTTTTAGACGCAGGGCATCTGATCTTCCGAGAATATCGTGTAATATGCTTTGTGTGTTTTACATATTTATGGAATATCTTTATCAAGAAGGGATAGATGCAACATAGATTGACTACGTGAGCACAAAGGGCACTATATTTTTTGCGTTTATTAAGCAGGCGGATGCAAGCGAGAGAGAAGGGCGTGGAAATTGCGAAGTACCGGCGAGGAAAGCGTGAGGTGCGTGAGCGTGAGGTGCGAGACACGCACCTCACGCTTATGAGTATGAAGAGAATAGTTCTGCAAGCTGGAATCTCTAAACACGGTCGTGATCCAAAACTAATTTTAGAGGGACGGCCTCTTACCTTGATTTTTTTTTATCGATGTGAACTGTTAGCAGCTGGTTTTCCTTCACCCTACAGCTAGTTGGGCCATTCGATAAAGCGTGAATTCTGAGGCTCAGAGCCAAACTTGAGATTTCGTCAATCAAAAATAGTAACGGACATCTATAAGCAGAAAAAAACAGTTAAATCGAAATCCTCCAACAACCCATAGGATACCCTACGAAACGCTATAAACTTCGATTTTATTTTTTCAGACACTTAATTTGCATGCAACAGACTACTTCCTGTGACAAAACAGGGCAACAGATTTCAATGCAATCCCATAGCTTTCAGGTAGTTTAGAGTAAAAGGCTTCCTCCAGCGTACGAACGGATAAAAGTTTCCAGCACATGTTTATCATTTGCTAGTTGCTTTTGTCCCGTTTGTTCATTGGATTTGAACACTCGACGTGCTTCGTAAAAATTTGGTTTTTAATTGTTGGGATTTTGTTATTATAAGAATTCTGTATAGAATAAACTTGTGTTACAACTGAAAGAAATAAATAAAAACAAGAAAATAAGACGAAAGCTTGCTTGTTTTAGATTTTCAGTTCTGTATCTTTTAAATAACCTGTTTTAGCATCGACTGTTTTTCACCAGGTCATGCAATGTGAGGCCCATCTATCGCCGTAACATTTCAATAGAAAGGCAGCATGAAAGATATGGATATTAATCTGAGATGCAATGTTGGCGAAATACCAGCCGGCCATGAACGTGGCTTGAACGTTACGCTTTATCTCGCTCCTTTATCTGCTGAATCACCCGGATAACGATTGGTCTCCGTCCTTGATAACAATAGGGTCCAGGTCTAAACGGACACACTTGTCGAGATATAAATGATTTTGAGCCTCATAAATCCCAGGTCAACCTGAAACATGCGCCTCCTTACCCCACCACTCCCCTCCCAACCCTTATCCAATGTTTTAATGAGGCATTTGAGTATGACACTAAAAAAACCCAGTGGGAAGGGGGGGGGTGTGAGGTTGCACTGTGGAACGTTGCAGTAATGATGGAAATTTTGCAACAAATTAGATTCTGTTAAGGATTGTGGAACCTATGTGTTTTTGTCACCGAGCTTGCCTTGAACGAGCAGTTGCAGTGCGTGATGAGACACAAACTGGTGAAAAGTTTTGAAAAATGACCTGTTACGAGGGTCCCCAGTGGGTTTTCGGGATCCAGGATTGGGTTTATGCGAGGGGCGGGATATAGGAACTTAGAGCAAGAATGGGACGAGATGCGAGATTGTGATTATGAACTGGTCACGGGGAACCTGCGATGGACCAGCATTCCCTGCAGCGTTGCTCCAAGTCGCCTCTCGTTTAAAGAAAACAGCAAAACTTCTATTGGTTACTTGATTACTAGGTGGTTCAATTTGGTCTTCAATCTTTACCTCACCGTCCAGATGATTGATTAATTTTTTCTCCGTACTTCACAGGAACTAACAGCGTTTAATTGTAGTCTTGCTAAGTCAACCTACGACAACCATGTAGGATATATTTTGTAATGAAACTTTTAATTAACTTTTCAAGACCATTACTGTAATTTACAACCAACCTTCGTAAGCTTTCTCTGTCGATATATAAGAACCTTGGTGTAACATACTGAACATATTAGCCACCATCAATCGCTCTATTTGAAATTTTTTTTCTAAGCTTATTCTACTGTAGGAGTAAAGCTAAATTGAAAAATACTCGATTTTGAACGACAAGAATTTGGAAGCGTTACTATTTGAAAATGAAAAACAAAAAAGTCATTGAACGCGCGTTAGATATGAAATCACAGAGGCATTTCCCCTAAGAATGCACAACTAACTTAAATGCTTCTTCGTGTGATGCCACAAAATGCAATTTTCCGCATTTACAGGAAAATGTGATCATTATAAACGCGAAATACTACATACTCCAAATTGGCGTCAAACCAAGGAAAAATCAGATTTAAATCATGCATTTTCTGGCTTTGTGGCCTTTTTTAAAGGAAGGCTAATTCATTCGTAGATAATGTATTTTTCCTCCTTTTGCGCTAGAAGGACGTTTCTGCAAAAAAGAACTAAAAATTAATCAAGTTAAATTAAATCATGACGTGCATAAAGAGAGGGTTTTGTGAGGATAAATTGCCTGATGAAAGTATAGGACGCTTTCCATAAGCAGCTCTTAATTAAAATCATTGATCCTTTACCACAGCCTCGCATCAATGATTTTGATGAATGATAATTTACATTCTGTTCTCTGCCTTTTCCCGGTTTCCTCCTCGAAAAACCCTGTTACCCTCTCATGCAATTCATCAATAAATAATTCCAGATAACAGAACATCGGTTTTAGCTGATCGAACAAAACGATTACGCTCGAAAATACGACTTGTGCGCAATTAAATTTCCGTGAATAATCTTGTAAATTCTTAAGAATTCTACGCCAGCAACTGTCTCCGATTTTTGCTGCGCTGTGCGGATATCCGTGAAATTCAAAAGAGCCCTAAAATTCCCAAATCTTTTTATGGGGCGATCTTTTGTTGGGCTTGTCTGGGATACTGCTGGCAGATCGGCCAGAACCAGAGCCAGAATCTTCGTCTTCTTCGTCGTCATCGTCTTCATCTTCGTCTGAGTGTTCTTTGGAGTTCTTCTGAGCCTTCACTGCCTCACGGATGGCGTCCTCGTCAGCTGTTTCTTCTTCCTGTTCATCCTCGGTGTTGTTTGATTTTGCTTCCTTCAGTTCCTCAGCTACGAAAGAAGGGCCATGGTCTCAGTTACTGTATGAAAATGTTTTGGGCAGCCCATTGACTGTAGCCCAGATATTTCCAAAATATACGACATTTTCGATACAAAGTGATGCTTAAATAATAAAGTTTGTCTGTGTGAAAACCCAGGATCAAGATATTTTCTTGTACTATACTAGGTAAAATTTGTAACATTGTAGTTTATCTTATGGCAAGGTAATCCTTAGGTAGCGTCTTGATTGGTTCTGACAGAGTCAATATTTCCATGGAAACGATCATATTTGTGCATTTTTTTCTCGTAAAAGCCTGCCAATTCAAAATTGACAAGTTTTGTCCGAGTGCCATATAATGAACTACTCACTGACGTCGCTTGCTAGAGCCATACTGGGGAATATTGACTGCCTTTCGTTTATGTAGGGACTTCATCGCACTCGGTCCGTGCTGCCACCACCTCGACCCTATATTACCCTGTACGGCCCTCGCACTCGGTTGGTAGGAAGTTAGTTAAGTTAATAAATATGTTGACTTAGAAACACTTTTCTGACTGCATGTTTCCCTAAGGATAAATTTGCTCGAGTCGAACAGAAGTGATTACACCTGTACATGCATATATCGCTGTATTCAAACATGTATATAATACTCGATGTTCAAGATATGGTCTTGAGCCCTCTCACTAACAGAAACTTTACTCACCCAAGGTGACTTTTTTGCTGTGTTTTGTGATGCGGTTCTTCACCTTATTCTTCTTCAGGGCGTGATGACGATATTTCAGATGAGCTTTGTGGTGCTTCTTGTGATGATGAGCACCCAAAGTATCTTCATCTTCTTCATCTTCATCTTCATCTTCGTCGTCTTCTTCGTCATCTTCGCCCGCTGATGAGGGGGAAGAAAAAATTCGCTAATTTCTGAGCGAAACTGTTGATACTAACCATTTCATTCTAATAGTTGCAGCATGCTATGCTGTGAGGAAACAATTTTGACTGTTCCCCTTCGTTCGTTTCTCGCTCGAAGTTTTACGTCAGAATTTTAAATTTGAATGTTTTTAACGTCAGCTAATAACAACTTGTTCCTTGAAGTTGTTAGAGATGATTCTTGACTTTCAGCGGCTTTACTGCCATGAAAAACTCAATCATCAAGATATTAAGAGAAATCTGATAGATCTTTGTCCAGGGAGAAACAAACAAAAACATCTCCAAAGGTCTCAGTTTGATAAATTTGACTAATGACGACGATGAACCACCATACTAGAGGAAGAGAGTAAACCAATCGCTGTGTTTCCAATTTTCCAATTTGATCCCCTGACTGATAGATATTCGCATCGTGCAAATTAATCCCAACAAAACCTTTTTCTAACATTATTCACCGGGCGAAATATGTTACTTACTTAGCTTCTTTTTGCAGAGGAAGTAGAACTTATCATCACAGTGGAAAGTTGTCCATTGTCCGTTCTGATCGGTAGCCACGCAATCCATTTCTTGGTCCGCCCGCTCGTCCCTGACGTAATCCATTTGCGGACTCATGGACTTGTAGGTCATGTTGCTTCCGTCACTCCACATAAAGTCGCTCTCGTTTTTCATGTCGTTCAAACCGATCCAGGTGAAGCTGAAAGACAAGAGAAGTGTTTGATTTACGATATTTTACCGAGTATGGTAAAGTCAGATGTAAAGTAATAACAAATAAAGGGGTTTAGTTTCTGGGGAAGTATGGCGCTACATTTGGAGGGAGGGGGTATAACAAGATAAATAAATAAAAAGGGTAAGTTTCTAAAGAAACTGCGGTGCAGCGTTGGCGCGAGTAACAAGGTAATTTTGGTTTTTTCAGCTGAGCTGATAATGTAAATTGGCCACCGTAAAGATCTTTAAAGCTGACGTTTCGAGCGTTAGCCCTTCGCCATCGCTCTGACGAAGGGCTAACGTTCGAATCGTCAGCTTTGAAGATCTTTACGGTGGTATAACAGGATATTAGGTAATATCAACTAAGTTGAAATTGTAAATTGGCCACCGTAAAGATCTTTAAAGCTGACGTTTCGAGCGTTAGCCCTTCGTCAGAGCGATGGCGAAGGTCTAACGCTCGAGACGTCAGCTTTGAAACTTTTTACGGTGGCCAATTTACATTATCAGCTCAGCTGCAAAAACCAAAACTACCTTGATGCTCCCGCCGACGCAGCACCACAGTTTCTTTAGAAACTTGCCCTTTTTATTCATTTATCTTGACGGAGGGCTAACACTCGAAACGTCAGCTTTTTAACTCTTAACGGTGGCCAATTTGCAATTTCAACTTAGTTGATATTACCCGATTACCTTGTTATCCTCACCGACGCAGCATCACAGTTTCTTTAGAAACTTACCCCCTTTATTCATTTGTATAACAGGATAGTTAACAACTATTCACCGAAGTGGAGGTGGTTAGTGGTGGATATTTACCGAGCCGCGAAGCGGTAGGGTAAATATCCACCGCTAACCACCTCCACTTCGTTGAATAGTTGTTTTAGTATATACTAAAACAGGGAGATAATATACACCACCAAAAATTAATTTGAGTGATTTCTTCGCTTGTCACGGATGCAAACTTGGACGCCATTTATTCTCGAGTTGCTCGGAGGTAAATAGCAAAGGATATTCGGAGTTTGACTAGCCAATCAGAGCGCGCCTTCAATGCTATCCACTGATTTAGTATTTACAATTTGGTTTACTAATTGAGTTGGTTCTGTAAGTAGTTTCTAAGGCTGACTTTTCGAGCGAGGGCTGTTGGTAAGGGCGATAGACTAAGGGCTAATGCTCGAAACGTCAGGTTCAGAAGATCTTTACGGTGGTCAATTTACATTTTGAACCAAGTTATCCTATATTAACGACAAATGCTAATCAGAAAAAAGCGAAATACTAAAAAGAGTAAAAGAAGCACTCCGCCTCAAGAACTGGAAGACGCAGTTGATGAGGTCAAATTTCTTTTTGGTTTTGCATTTGATTGGTTGAAAATGTGATACTTATTTTCTTAGACTGATCAAAGAGTGCAGCCAAGCTTAATAGTCTATTCCCAGATTTGTTATAATGTTCAATTGCTGAAACATTCAGTACTATATTCTCTGGTGATGTACCTCTTTAATTTTGAAGGGAACGGATAAAGGGAAACTCGTTTTCCACGCCTTTTCACCAATAGCCATATACACCTAGAGAGTGGAATCTCGTGCATTCATTGATGCGATGAAAATTTACAATAACTAACCAAAGGAAGCTCAATCTTACCCGCAAAGCTGAACTTGGTTCTTGACAAAGTCAGCTTCCTCCTCACCCTTGATGGAGGCAAGGTCAGCACCATATTCAGCGCATTTGTCTCTAGCTGCGTGCCATGTGTTAAAATCAGTCATCAGCCTGAAACAGTACACTCCCTGGTCTGTTGAGAATCGTCTCCAAAACAGAGGACACACTTTAGAAATAAAAGAACGGAATAGATTTATCAACAGGCTTTCAGGTCCGATTCTGCCCGATCACTTACTTCCAAGGGTCGTTACATTCGTAATTCTGCAGATTGCTGAGATATCGAGTTAAGCGCAGTACCTTTTTGGAAGGCTACCGCTTATTGTAAAAGCACCATCTCGCGTTCCTCCTTTAAAGCACCCGCCAGATCTTTCATTTTGAGGCCCTACAATGACGTTCGGCCGACGTTCGGGAATGCATTATGTTGTTTGGGGTGTTACCTGCTTCTACGGATCCTTTAAGCGCACAGAAACAAACTACCTATCCACGGAAATCATTTTGGCAAGCACTTGTGGGAACCATTCTTTCTTTAACGTAAGAGCACCACACTTAACATCTCTCTTATTCGTCTATACTTACTTTTGTTATTAAATCTCTTGGAGCTTTTGCTCTTTGTATTCTCGATGATCCATTTGGTAACATAAGGTCCAGCATAAGCATCGGCTGCCTCAACGTACATTTTCTTGGACACGACATTCCCTTGTCCAGATTGGTGTACAATGCGTACGGAATTGATAGCAACAGGCTGAGGGAACTCATATCCAATGAAATCTTCACCTGGCCCTCGACTGTACCAGCCATTGGGAAGCCAGTAAGTGCTGCTCCTGTTGTCGAAAGCACTGCCGGGTTCATATCCTAGGTAGCTTGAACTGGCAAACGCCTTTTTTGGATCTGGTGTGTCCAAAGATTTCCTGGCGTGTTTGTCCGCGAAGAACTGGACCTTGTTTAATACCCAAGATCTTGGCAGTTTGGCTTCGTTTACTATTCTCCAAAATCTGTGTCCTGTTCAAAGAAAAAGTAAAGACTCGTCTACAAAAATTGTCAATCAGAGAGCCATATGGGAATGTCGCAAGTCGTTGAGGTTTCTCTGGTGGAACAACACTTTTTCATTTGTTATCATTAATTTGATCTATTTTGGAACTTGGGAAAAATACAGCGCTTTTCCAAAATAACTACGTCTAACAGTGTTCGAACTCACCAATGTTCTCAGATGAATCACACCAATTGCATGAATCTTTACAGTAGTTGTACATGAAGTGGTGGTTTTCTTCACAGAAACATGGATTCCTTGCCTTAAGACAGAAGTTGTTGGCTCTTTCATCGTCAAGACAAACACCTGTTGGAGAAGGTAATATTGAAAAGAACTTATTCTCCCATGAATAAAGACAATTGTTACTCAGTTACATTTCTGCTGAAAGAAAATCGTGGAATTCTCGTTTACCCCTGAAAAGTCCATTTTCCGTTTAATTATTTAGCAGCAGTATTCTCTCAAATAATTCACTCGGAAAAGGCATAGCACCAGGCGAGAGAAATTTCAAGTTACAGCCTAGAAGTTATTTAAGTTAGGTCTCTTTCACAGGTTACCATGAAAGCGAATGACAAATATTCATTCTTGTGCGATTCAGAATGTTTATCCGATATAAGCTAACATACCTGCCAAATCGCTTCTCGCTATCAAAGAAAAAGAAAAAGTACAGACAATTATTGGGATAAGAACTTTGCTAAATACGTATAGAAGAGAAAAAATGAGAAAATCAACAGGTAAAGTACACATACTTTGGGCCTTGTTCGAACCTGCAAGAAAACAAAGAAGTCAAATATTTAAGTCCCGCAATCTGCGACATTTGCAATGAAGCCGTGACGTCATATCTCGTTAGAGAAAGCAAAATAGAAATATAGACAGAAAAAATGACAACAGCTAAGGTATCATTAAACAAAATTAATGACACTCTACTAAAAGTGACGTATTGTCATTGTTAATGTAGATCTGTTCTGTCTGATTCAGAATGGTCCAGGATGTCAGCGGTCTGTCTCTTGTCCTCCAGTGGTTATGTTTCATTTACAAGGGTTAAAGGGAGTTCACCATCACACTCCGAAAAGAAAATGATCGTTCTGCTAAAATTTTCAGTTCGTAATTTTACTCGATTCTGCAAATTTATCTTTGTTCCTGTGAGCCGGACAACTAAAATCTACCAACGTCGCCGACGTTTCCTTGTCACTAAACTAGGTTCGGTCAGAAAGGATGGGATCAACCCGCTTGAGAATCATGACACGACATAGGTGACTACCTGTGAAATATGGCCTAACAATAGGGTGGCAAAACTTTTAACTTTACAGAAAAGAACGATTTTGAAATAGATTATTTCCTATGGATTTCTTTGTCATCTCTGCTATTTTTTTCAAACCGTCTCACTTATCATATGCTGCACGATTATTAGAACATCCACTTCAAATCTCTCCAAATGGAAATTGGAGAAATTGGAGTTGCGTCAGTTTTGCCTTTCACGTCGTAGGAGTTAGATGGTAAGAATTGTTCTTGACGAACAAGTGTTTGTCTAGAAAAAAAATTATGTGTTTGTCTAAGCTCGGCTTATCTGTTTATTTCAGCGAGTTAGTTCGTCAAAGTTTCATTCTGTTTCTGTTTTCGATTGTGTTGTTCGTTTAGCCGAACATACCTTGGGTGGAAGTAGACTTGGCCACCTGAGCCACTGAAAACAAAAAAAATTTCACATTTTCCAATCGGTTTTGCGTTGTTTTGGTACGATGAGTACGACACCGGCATAACTAATCTATTAGAATCGACAACCCAAATCGATCGGTTTTACATGATCGCTATTAATTGATTCATATCGATTGACATCGGTCAATAAATGACCAATCGAGAGCAAAATCTATCGATTAAAAAAATTACCGTTCTATTCACTGAATTAACTGGTGGATTAAACTTTGGCACAAATTGGGCCGAAAGCCCGAAAAAAGAAGGGTTGGAAACCTAGTATCTTTATTCTGTAGCTATGTAAATTTTTTTATTTTCATAATGGAAACCTAATAATTTCTCGCGGTGGTTGGTCAAAGAATTCTTTTGGCCGAGCTAATTTAGTATAGTCACTAACGTGTTTCTCACCTGCAGCAGCGATCAAAGCAGTTGCAGACCGAGCAGGGGCTGGAGCTGGGTAGGCGTAAGCTGCTGGGGCTGGGTACGAAGAGTAGTAGGGAGCTGGTGCTGGGTTGTAGTTGTAGCTGTAGCTTTGAGATGAAGGTTGGTAAGCTGCGGACGCTGATGAACTGTATGGGACGGATGCTCTGGCGCCAGCTGATGCTTCTGCTGTTGTAGAGGAAGCCGGAGCAGGAGCTGGGGCAGGAGCTGGAGCTACAGCAGCTGGTGCGGGAGCTGGAGCTGGAGCAGCAGCGGCAGGAGCTGCCGCGGGTGCTGGAGCTGGAGCAGCTGCAGCCGGAGCTGCTACTGGCGCTGGTGCTGCTGCTTGGGCTGTTGCAGCTACAGCTCCTTGTGCTGAAGCTCCTGCTGCTGCTGTTGCTGTCGCTGGAGCGGGCGCTGATGAAGATGCAGAGGCAGTAGCAGGAGCCGGCGAAGGAGAAGAAGCTGGATATGGCATGGCTGACCTGGTCTGTCCAGTATTGTACACTGTAACAGATACAAACCTCGTACTCACCTCTTGTAGCCATTATGTAATAATTCCCGGGATAGATGACCGATCCATTCATCGAAAAAAGTCACAAAGAGGGGACCTTAGCTTACCTGCACTGTTATAAGATGTGGTAGCCTGTGCGGTGTACTGTGATCCATATGAAGGGTACCCTAAAAGTGGATATTACAAAGATAAAGTCTGACAGAACCCTAAAATTCTGGAGGGCTAAAGAAGAAAATGTTGAGGACTGTTCGGTTTTCTGCAGAAATGGTGAAAATCATTTCATTGAAACTTGTACAATGTTTGATTTTTAAAAGATATTTGCTGGTCGCGTGTAGTATCTTTATAAGCCTGCGATTTGTATTTTGTTTTATCGCGTCACGTGAAAAATTGCAATGCAGATTACAACTGTATTTCCATGTTGATAAATCATTGTTTATTTCATCCAAATAAATCGAAAAAAAAATTTTTGTTTTTACTCTTCTCTCATCTCATTATCATGGCTTCCAACTAAATTCGCTCCTTTTGAGTGACAGCATTTTAACGCATGCTTAATCCAAATTTTCTTTGACCTTAACGATTGCAGGCTTCATACCATCTAAGTTATACGTTTAAAGCTTTATCAAGGTTGCGCGAAGTCATTCTAAAATACACATCGTTTTCAAATATACTGCAACTTGCAGAAAGTTTGGTTTCTTAACCGTTGCTGGGCTACGTACTAGGGACTTTAAGCAAACTACCACGGTTACGGCAGCGAGAACGTGGAAAAACAATAGATCTAATTGGCAGAACAATAGCCTAGCACGTGCGTTTTAAAACTTTGTACATTTCTTAGCCGTCCTTTGCTAAACAACAACGTGAAATCACCAAAATTTGCGTCGTCTGCGAAGCGAAACCGCGGCGGCAAATTATTTTAATTTACATTTGGAACTCAATGCTACTTTTATGCGTTATATTGAGTTCGAGGTCTGGCGCCCTATGAGACGGTAAACACATGCAGCCATTTTGGAAACTCTAACTAAAAGTAGAAACTCATTTTTTAATCGACGTCTTCCCTGGCGTTGCCGTCCTGACTGCTTAAAGTCCCTAATTATGATTTGATTACGGGTAGCAAGTTAAAAAGGCAACTGATGAAAATGTTTCGACATTATCGACTATAGGCGCCACAGGAGTCCATCATGTTTTTTATCAACACTAGCTGATGTAAAATGATGTCATAAATTCCTACCGTTTGTCGAAGGAACTGTGTCCCGTTTCACTTGTTTAGCTGCGGGAAAAAAATGTAAAAAGCATATTTAAAATTAAAGTTGTCGAGTACATTGGGTAGCCAATGTAACCTAAATCTAATTTCCTTACGTACTTTTAATTGCTCAGTGACGTAAATAAGAACTGCGATGAAAGAGAAAAGATTTATTGCGGTTTCCATTCTCTTAGTTTTAGTTTAACAACTTGAACAGATAATGTTATTCTTTACTTTTAACTATTGAAAATCAAGTATTGGATAAAAATTGTAAAAATGGTTGCGGTCTATTTCTATAATTGCTAGAAACGCGAGGCTTGAAGAGAAAAGATCTGTCGTCAATTTTGTATCTATTAAAAGTGAAACAATAAAAATGGCTTAATCATGAAACAAAGTTAACACCGATGCATTTTTAAGCGCTCTTCATTTTGTAGGGATATTCTTGACACTTCAAATACCACCTTGATGTCATTTTTAAAACACTTTCCCCAAACTGACAATATAACAACAACATACTGTATTTTCAATTATGTTTATATGCTAGCATTCGCTTTCAGATACTCACACTCTCTGTCATCTGTCCATTTGGCCTTATGACTTTTCGGTTTTATGTGGAATGTTCCCTTTATTACTACAAATTTCAAGGAGAAAAAGAGAAAATGAAAGATCGCCATTATTTATATAATATTAATGGCCTAAATTGCCGATAAGTTTGCGATGAAGACTTCTCGTAGATTCCCCTAATCTAAACTTCTTTACATACGTTTATTAGCCGAATCCGTTTTCCATGTTTGTCAAACTTAGAGCACAAAAATAACGTCAAGAGACTTGGGCCATTAAAACCCGGAGTGATTTACCAGTGGACTCGACTATATTTTAGAGACAACAACAGGTTGCTTTTTGTAGCATATTCTTTAAGTAGATGTTCTCTTGTCTTCTACACCCTGAGACTAAAAGATCAAAAGTAAAGAATTTGATTTTGTAGTAATTTCCGTCTACATGAAATGATTATAACTCACTAAGACTTTTAACCGCCAAATCAGAGGCGCTAAACGCTCTTGAGTCACATCTAAGAAATTCCAGTGTTTAACCAAGATGATCGGAATCGTTGGCCAATATTTGTAGATAACGCCATTGTTTCCAGCTTACCTTGAAGTTCAAAACAAGCCACTAGAGCTAATATAACAAAACACTTCCTCCACATAACTGTAAAAGTGGTTTCATAAATCAGTTAGGAGAAATCCTTGGTTCTAATCTCTCTTAAATTCCTCGTAATCCCAAACAAGACGCCAAAGAACAAAGACTAGGACCCAAGGTCATAAATAAATAATAATGAATTAAAGCTCATGACATGTACCTGGGGAAATTGATAAACAACAGTGGAGTCAATGCTCTGGTCAGCGTTCATTAACAACGGGAAGTATAGTCGTCACTTTTATTTTTTATTTTTATTTTATATTCAGCAACAAATCAAGTTGGAGATTGGTCTGATGTTATTGTATTTTCAAATACAGCCCTGAAGTCTTCATTTCAAGGAAGAGAGGAAAAATTTCCAAATGTGGACTGCTCATGGTGGTTTACACCTTCCTCCAACAGATTTTGGATACAGCGTGGCAAATTCTTGACAGAAATAAAAAATTGCAGTCAGCTTAATAAACTCTTGAATTTGGAAGGGAAGCCACAATATTTTCAAGAATTTACCATTTTTTACATTTTCTAGAACATTTAAAAGGGTTTGAAGCCAGAGTTAAAAAGCTACTCAATACTAAATAAAACATTCTGTAATTAACTGTTAAATTGTATAAAATGCCATTTTATTTATTCTCGATGTCCGCTACACTCAGGAAACTCAACCGTTTCAAATTGACAAGCGTAATATACTTTAGGCGGAGTACTCCTTTGTTTTCACAATACGATCACCCGCCCTCTTGTGAAAATAATGGCTTCCTTCTGGTATTAACAGGTGTCAGGTCTTCCTTCTGCTCGGCTAGCGAGCACCCCAATCCTACGAGAGATGGGTTATGCCCAGCTTTGTGGTTCGCTAACTTGGAGGGAAAACTTTTTAAATACTCTGGGATACCCTTCAAGGAGAGCTTTCGATGGTTAGTGTAGCCAAGTTTATCAAATTAGACGATTCAAATGAACAGGTCTTGGTATCTCTCTTGTCATAGGTTCGCATTGTTGAAGAGAGTTCTCTTGTACATGCGGTCATTGCCATAGGCAAAGAAATCAACTTGCCTTGATTGGTACAACGGTTGAATGTATCTTTGTAGAGATGCAATTTTGGAAGCAATTTGATTTTCTTAGTATATGATATAGCGCAGGGACTGGGGAAGAGTTCTATGGCAACGTTTCCAACGGGTGACTTTCTGCCTACCCCATGTATGTTTGGGTGGGGCGATCTGCAGTTCAAGACATTTGCATGCTCAAGTCTTTGAAATGTTAAAAAATGAGCATGCCATATTCAAGAGTACACATACACGGCGTAAAAAAGTTTTTTGTTCAACACAATCTCAACGGCTCGGTAATACCTATGATAGGATATCAGATGATGAATTACGTTTATGATGCCAATAAACTGAGTAATGTAGTACCCTTAGTTCGATTCCTTCTTACATTTATCAAACTGTGATGGTGTTTTTTATCGTTATTTATCCTGTTAGGTAACTCCCCTTCTTCTGTTATTCCCATATTGCACCCTTTCATTTAGCATCACATGTAAACTCAGCTCCTGAAAGTTCTAAGTGGGTAAGTTTCTAAAAAAATTGTGATACTGTGTTAGTGGGGGAGTGTGACAAAATTATTTGGTTTTATCGACCGAGTTGATAATGTAGACTGGCCACCATAAAGAGTTTCAAAGCTGACGTTTCGAGTGTTAGCTCTTCGTCAGAGTTCTTTAACGTCGAGTTTTCTTATTTCGTTTTCTGTTGGCCTTATTACATGGCAGTCTCGTTTCCCGTATCGTTGCCTTGATCCTGTTCCTCGGTAAGTCAAATAGAACATTTTGAGATGGCAAAACTGTGATTTCGTCCCCGCCTGTCAGTGCAGTCGGCATAAATACTCGGAATATATTGCCAAAGTAAAATTTTGCAGCCGTGCATAAGAGCTTCGAACTAAAAAAAAAAATCCCACAAATATAGCCAGTTTTAAGAGTTTCACCGCGCAGTCGGGTTTCTCATTCGGTTTTTGGTTTTAGCTCTTTACCCACTGATCAATTTGAATCTTCTCCCATCATTTTTGCCTCTTCTCCACACGGCACTGCTTTTCTTTGCAAACATGGAGCGTGGTAATTGATTATTAGGCGCTAAAACGGGTCATTGGAATGTTCAAATGCAACAGCCCCACAAAACCGCGCGGGCTGCACTCTAAGAAAGCAAGGAAGCCTGGGAACAACAACGCCTCGCCGCAATGCTGTCCCGTTCCCAAAAGCTGTATAAACGGTACACAAACTCGTAGCACTTCAAGTAAAACTCAAAATCATGTCCAAACCAAAGTGATGCTGATAGAGAACTTGAATTAACTTGGGAAGAGTTATCGCCCGGATGTTTAAATCTTTCAGGATTGCCTATACTATTGCTGTTTAGTTTTGCCTTGAGTTTAGCTGCCATAGCAACGTATACTTTGCGTTTTGTCAGCTCAGAATTAATTGGAATCGAGAAAATTGATCTGTACAAGTGTCTTGATTTGTCTACATACAGAAGCACCTCAAGCCAATATTTCACGTGCATTTCTCCGGCTACTAGTTTTTTAACAGCCACAGACTTCGGACTCAACCCGTATTTGACCTCAGGCGTATTTACAACCAATGTTTCCGTTAAAAGTTTTTATGTCACTGTTACTCACTGGGAATATTATAAAAGCTTTTTTTTTCATCTGTGAAAATATGAATTGGTTTTCCTAAGCCATGGATTTTATAGTCATCAGCCAAATCATATTTACTGTATATGCAGGCGGGAGCCCATCGCTATGGATCTGCTCCTGCAGGTCCAATGATCCATGGCCACAAGCTCAGGTACCTGCTACGAGTGGTACCAGCTCGCTTATCAACACGATTTTGAGTCGTCCAATTTCTACACAAAATTTCAGTGAAATTACTTCTCAACTTGTATTTACGATTCTTTTCTATTCCTTTGCTATTCATCTGCCATTTTATTAAAAGGAAACTTTGTAACATGAATTTGGCACCAGTGCAAGCAATTTATTGTCCATGCCCTTTAAGGGAATGATAAGTGGCGGTAATTGATCCAGGTCATAAATTATGAGTCTTTGTGTCAGACAAAGTTTGATTTGTATGAGGGGCTTATGACTCGCTTGCAAATATTTGACGCTACAAAATCTTGTTAAAGCAATGGCGTCTTTGCTATGTTTAATGGGTTTGTTGCTAGTAGGGTTCGCTTCAGCCAATCTAGAAGGTAGGTTGTTTACAATTGACCCTATATTAAGACAGTTTCTTTAGAAACATCAATTACGTATTCGTTAGAGCATTTTACTAACAGTAAATAAGGCCTGTTTTTTTTTCCCCAGTTCTTTTATTTTGCTTTAACAAAGAAGACACCCAACGTAAAACTACAGTTACAAAGGATAACGGATATTTCCATCTTTATTTTAGAAGTTTCAAAATGACCAAAGAGAGGTTGAAGGTTTTTCACTCGCGGTAGTGTTTTTGTAACAGACATTGTACAATCTCAGACGATTAGACTTGTCTTTATCATAATAACCTATTTCAGCAGTTTGCGAAATAAGAGTTTCATATTCAAGAGTACCCCCCAAAAGGGTCAAAACAATTCCATATATTGAAAAAGATTATTAGCACCATTACTTCAGTGGACCTTTTTGCCTCAGGATTTTAAATTCCATTCACTGAGTCAAGTCATCAGTCATTCAATGTTTTCGTATGGTTTTGAAGACTTTCGTAATTATTGTTTTGTAGCCGAATACTCGTGATCATGTTTTTTCTAAAATTTTTTTCTGCACGCAGCATCTAAGTAATTGAGCCGTCTGTTCGGGATAAACGTAGAGAGAAATATTCTTTACCGCAAGCTGTGTTATTACGGTTTATTTTGCTCTATGAAGTAGTTCTAACATTTTAAGTCCGAGGATAAAAGGTTACGTGTTTAGCAACTGGATTAGAGAGCAACTTGAAGTGATTAAGAGATTATTTGACAGGAATTGTCTCTTATGGGTCGGAAGTAATTCTGCATTGCTTCACTTTACTCTCTGATTGACTTAGAGTACGCGCGTTAACCCCTATAACCAATGAAGTTAAAAAATTACATTGGCAGTTTGACTCAACGAGACGATTCCCAAGCATACCCTCACACTAAAAGAATGCTCATTTCTTTATTTTTTTTTAAACGTTCGCAGGTCATCAAAAAAGATTAGCAAAACATCATCCTTCACCTCACAAAACTCACCATTCTGTCCCAAAAACACCCCTTGTCGAGCCAAGTGCTCAGAAAAATATAATTGTGCACAAAAACCCACAGAAAACCACGTGACAGAAACCTCAAGTGAAGCAATCTGTGCCGCTGACTTCTGTAAATAAATCAGCTGCGCAGAATGAGGTTAAGACAGCAGATTCCAAAACAGCGGAGGGGACCGGACAAGCAACTGGGAGGGCAATTTTGTTACACAGTGCTAATGGAGTGGGACATGTCGTTCAAGGTAAAACTGTGCCTGGAGGGCTTTGCTATAGAATTAATACTATACAATAAAAAATAAAGCCAATCAGAATACAAAACGCTATCGTATATTTGACGGCATTACACTTTACCTTCCCCTCGGGCTCTGCCAACTTTTTTCCACAGATATTTACACGACTGTGACGTTTTCAGCTTCCTTTTCAACGTTATGAAAACGGTATGGGGCGGCTATTTAAACATAGTTTAGCTGCTGTTTAACGAAACTGCGTTCTAAACAACCCCTTATAAATAAAGCCTGAGGTCCACTGATTGCGTACCTAAAGTAAATAATCAGGCCTACGATTTAAGGGGTACACAGACTTGTTATAAATGTGACTATGTCAAATGGACACCTACACAGATCCAACCCCCTCCTTATCCCTTATCCACTAAAACCCCTTAGTCGAATCACCCCAGGGGTAACATTGCCCCCATTTTACAATGCACAGTTAAAGGATGGTAGATTCATCATTCAAGACGTTTAAATTCTACTGACAGTAAAGGCTTTGGGTTAATACAATTTAAATCACAGCCAAATGTTGCCCAAATATTGTTTAACAGATTCACCCAGTGGAAAATCTCCTGTGATTGTTATCAACTCAGAGGCTGCGGCTGACAATGGTATGATAGCAGCAACTTATGCTGTACGCACGCTATACAACTATACACTTTGCGTTATTATCAGATTTCAGGCTAAACCATAAACGTTAAATTATTTCCAATTTCACGTAGCAAAAGTAAGTAGCTGTGTTATGTTTTCATATGTAAAGCATCGATACTTCTCTCAGGGTAACGTGAGGAAAAAATGAAACACGCGTGTGATATTAACCCTTCGATCGCGACTGACTCCAACAGCATCTGGAGGTCACCAGAGTTTCTTTTCCACGAAGCGATTTGTAAGAATTAGTACTTCCCGTGCCGGGATGGAATGTTATTCAACAGAGCTATTTCAGATTTTCCTGAAAATAATAATAATAATAATAATAATAATAATAATAATAATAATTTATCAATGGACATTCCACTGGGTGGCTCTTCCTTGTCCACTGTTTCCAGATCGAATCGGAATTTGGAATGCTAGTTTTTGCGGAGGGAGGAAAACCGGAGGACCCGGAGAAAAACCCTGGGAGCAAGGACGAGAACCAACAACAAACTCAACCCACATGTGACGCCAGGTCTGGGAATCAAACCCGGGCCACAGTGGTGGGAGGTGACTGCTCTCACCACTGCGCCATCCCTGCTCCCCATACTGGTTCTATGTTCTACTCCTGTATCGAAGGCACTGTGAGAGTAGAATGTGATGATTATGACCATGCACCCAAGGCACGAAATGGTAGCTCTTGATCCGTTGTCCAGCCCAAAAACTATCAGCCCACCGCCATCGTCTATCTAATACTCGTATAGCACCCATGAAAATGTTTCGTGGATGTCGTGTTTTGGTAATAACGAATTTGTCAATAGCTTACCCTGGCTCTGTTATAAATATCATCGACTCCGTAGCACGGTAGTTTCAAAGTTTTCAGTCACAACCTGGCTAACAATTTAAAACAGTAGATTTCGACTTGTTGGATGATTTAGGAAGTTAACATATTTTCTCTCATTTGACAAAAGGTGGTAAACTTGACCCATTCTCTCAAGATTGTCTCGATGCACATAATAACTATCGAGCTAAACATGGTGTCCCACCTCTGATGTGGTCACGTGATTTGGCAGAAGGGGCGCAAAACTGGGCGGATCAACTGGCGTCCACTGACTCCTTACAACACGATGAAGTCGCCATACAGAACCGGAAGATGGGTATGTCTATGTCATGATTAAGTTTACATACTTGATGGACTGATTACGCCGAGGCTCTACCCGATGTCTATGGAGCGGGGAATTTTTCGCAATGGAGTTTGGTTCAAGATCACCTCTCCACCAATCCACACCCGCGCTTCCTTCCCCCCTTTTCATTTGCGATTGCAAAAAAAGATCACCCAGTTGAGTAGTATTTTGTAAGAATGATGTGAGATAAGGACTAGGTCTGGTGAAGGAGTGGAGAAGAGGAAGGGGAGGGGGTGCGTTCGGACCCACGGATCCTTAGCAGAGTCTTGCTACATGTGCTCCTCCTAGATGGGACACCCTGGGGGGAAAAATGAGCTCCCGAGAAACCGACTAAGTGAAACTTTTTTTGTAGGAGAAAACCTGGCCTATTTTCAACCAGCCGTTCCGAAATGCGAAGGTGCCATGGTTGACAATTGCGTCAACTGTCGAGAGATGGTCCAACGGTGGTACGATGAAATTAAGAACTATGATTTTGATAAAGGAGGCCCAAAGGCAGCCAGGGGTGCTTACAAACACTTTAGTCAGTTGATCTGGGCTAACACTGCTGAACTGGGGGTTGGGACCGCGGTCAGTAAGCGGTATGGCTTTATAACAGTGGCACGATACAGGCCGACGGGGAATGATGGCGGATTTGAGGAGTTTATAAGGAATGTTCCCCCAGAAGGAGGTATGATACTTTAAAATCTATAATTCTCTGATCACAAGGCAAAAAGGTGGATACATATGACAATCTATTTCATGTTTTATAAAGGGATCCCTTTGGTGAGCTATCACAAGAAATTCAAAAATTCAGCAAAGAGGCACTTTGGAAAATATGATTCAGAGATTAGGGAGGTACTTCATAATTCTTATAATGTGTCATGGAAAAGCACAGCCTCACAATGTTTTATTACCCAGACTGTTCAAGTCCCGTTTTTTATTTTGACACAGAATTGAGGATGCATATTTGATATTAATACGTGGGCGTGTGTATTTCTGTTAAGGACGCTTGGTCTTTTGTTTTACAACACTTAGAAAAAGGCGCTCTAAATCTTATTTATCTTTCCTACTGGTTTTCTGTGTGATAACTCAATTTATTAAAAACTGGATCATTGGATAATGCAATTCAAGACTTTTTATTGGCTTAGCCATTATGGTATATGAGCTATTAGTATATACTAAAACAGTGGATAGCGTTGAAGGTGCGCTCTGATTGGCTAGTCAAACTCCGAATATCCTTTGCTATTTACCTCCGAGCAACTCGGGAAAAAATGGCGTCCCGGTTTACATGCGTGACAAGGGAAGAATTCACTCAAATTAACGACGGTGGTGTATATTATCTCACTGTTTTAGTATATACTAAAACAACTATTCACCTCAATGTCGGTGGTTAGCGGTGGATATTTACCTCGCCGCTTCGCGGCTCGGTAAATATCCACCACTAACCTCCTCCACTTTGGTGAATAGTTGTTAAATATACCATAATCTACAAATATGGTAAGCGAACGCGTCGGCTTAAAATTAAAAGGGAGCTAAAAAATTTAATAAATTGAATGATTTAATTTACCGTTTTTAATAAAACAATTATTCCACTCGCGCTTGTTGGATATGAGATGATTAGAGCCTCGTTGGCTATCTACCATCTCATATCCAACACGCGCTCGTGGACTAATTGTTAAATATACCATGTTAAAAACCTCAGGACCTCTACCAACATTGTCATCACCACTTCAAGATAATTCAAAACGTGAGGGAGACGTAAAAATGTCCTCTTCCTCGGAGAAATCTGCAGTTTCCTCTGAAACAACAACAAATTCGGTTGCTCCACAATCAGCAAACAGACATTCATCTACAGCCGACAAAAATCAGAGTAACACGCCAACTGTAACGAGCGGGGCTGCAGTTTTGTCCAAGGGCGCCAAACTTGGAAATGAACCGACGCCTGTTCAACCGATGAACAAAGAGCAGCATCGCAAGGGTGGCTTTGTGCACACACTGACAGCTAATGACGGAACGAGGGCTCAGGTGTACCTCAGCAGAAATGGAGCCCATGCGGGCATAGTATTCAGAAACGAAATATCCAGAGGTAAGGAAAATAATTAGTTATTCAGTTCCAATTGTAATTGATTTTGATAAACGCAATTTTGTGATGAGCACAATTTATCGTGTTTAGCATATCTAAATTTGTCTATATAAGGAGGATCGAGAAAGTGTGATGTTGTCTACACGCACATTTTCAAAGAAAATAAGATAGTGTTAAGAAAGGAATAGCTGCGTAGTTTCTCAGATACTGACATGAATCCGAAATCCGAATTTTTTCCCCACATTTTGGACAAAATAGTTGATTCATTTGTAGTGATAATAAATAAAGGCAATGGAAATGAAATTCAAAATTCGCTGTGTAACATTCCTTGGCAAAGTTTTACAGGTATTTAGGGTTTCAAAAGATAACAATAAAGGAGTTGAAATCTTTTCTTTGGAACGTCTTAATCGTTGGTGTACTCAGCTTTTCTGTTCAAAGAGGAGACGCTGTAAGGAGTAAATTGAACGTCCTGCTTGAAAAGACAGGCAAGTTGGATACTTTATATTTTCTTTTTTTTAATCTTGAACTCAAAATTATTGTAATTATTTTTTTCATAGTGGCTCCCGATGAGGATACAACAGGAGTGAAAAGGACGATAAAAGTGTTGTAAAAAAGTTTTTTTCCGTCAGGAATCTGTCTTAACACCGTAGACTGAAGAGTAGGTGTCAGGTCGTTTAGAACTGATATTCCAGTCAAATCCTATAACGGCACCAAATACAAAGAAGCAAATAATGTTCTAAATCCTTAAAATAACGAGATCTGATCAACAATTCTCCCTCGTAGAATTTGTACATTTACTCGTAAACTTATAAAGAGAATATGGGGTTGTATCATATTATATATATCCAGGCTCTCCTGGGTAGGATGGTTAGTTTAGAGTCGTGAGGGGGAGGGTAGTATGGTTAGTTTAGAGTCGTGAGGGGGAGGGTAGTATGGTTAGTTTAGAGTCGTGAGGGGGAGGGTCGTCGCAGTTTTGAAGCAAACAGAGTTCCACCTATTTGCGCCGTGAAGGATTTAGAAAATGCCGTACCATCACGTTAATTGCACTTTTATTCATTTTCGTTACAATACCAGTAATATTTACAATCTTAAATTCCGGTTACCTTGAATATTTATGTCTCTGAATACAATGTTAAAGATATTGTTTCATGAAGAGAAATTAAGTGTTGTACAGGAAGGGCTTGCAAAGGTTATAAGGGTTCACAAGGCAAACTGGTTGAGAGAATACAATGGAAAGCTTAGGACGGTTTTTAAGTCAAAATGTCACTCGTGCGATACTCTAACAAAGGTGCTGCAAAAATATTGAGGGAAATACTAAAATTATGACAAAGATAAATGTGTTAATAATGAAATGGTATGAGTAAATCAATATGTTGATGATGGCGATATCTTGCAAAAATAATAAAATTGACTTTACATTTAAGATTTCAATTGTTTGCTGCGTTTTTGGAATTGGGGTTTATTAAAGTGTTTCTATCTGTAGGATTTTATAACATGATGCACACACCATGATAAAATAAACTTGATAAACCCTCTTTTTGGCCTCTTATGAGCCTTGTTAGGCATCTTTTTCTGGCTGTCATGAATGGAAAAGTGGAAAAAGCACGTCGAACACGTTCCATATTCAAATAGTGAAACAATAAAACTAAAATAAAAACAAAAAGATTACTGGCAAGATGCTAGACTAAAATGGGCTTTTTGATCTTTGATTAAAATTAAAACATTACTGTTTAGACGTTTACAAATTAGCCATTTTAAAATGTCCAGCCTAGAAACGGGACAAAAGCAACTAGCAAATGATAAACACGTGCTGGGAACCTTTGCCCTTTTCTCCACCGGAAGACGGCCTGTTGTCAACAAGATATACATTTAGAGCGGACCGCAGTAATCGGCTATCGCCGTTGTGATTGCCTGCCCGTTATTGTTGATGTAATTTATGTATTTTTGGCAAAGCTAATAAACTAAATTAGCGGCATATTACAGGTCGCATGGGTCAGTACAGAAATAGCAAGCAAGTATGAAAACACCTTGGTTAATTCAACCTTTTGTCAACTATTCAAAGATTGCAACTGGGATTAGAATCATCGAAAAATCATGAAAGAGGTTTGTTATGATGGGAAGCGCCTACTTTTTATCAAGAATAAAAAGGATTGACATGCTGAAATCAAACATCTTAACCCCTAAAATGAGCAATGTTCTTAAAAAAGCTTTGCACACTAGTTTGTTTTAATACTAAATATGTTTGTTTACTAATTTATTTTTTTTAATTAGTTCGCTTTTCTACTTTGAGGTTTCTTAATTTTTTTCGGTTTTAATAAAATGTCCTTTCCGAGGATATAGTTGGTCTTTTTCTTGTTTGGTTGTAGTAGTTTACATACATTTCAAAATGAAGAAATGAAAGACTCCCAAATGAAAGATTTGACGAGACTCCCAGGGGCCTCGTGGAAAAAAAAAAGATAAGAATAAAAATTTATTGAAAAAGGCCTTTTACCCCCTCCCCCCCATTTAAAAAATGAACACGACACTTGAAAATCCCCGGGAAATAACAGGTACCTTCAGAAACTCTCCAAACATATCGTGGTAAAGTATGAACTCAGATACCCAACTGAACTGTATATCTGCGTATGTTGGCGCCACGGTAGGGACTACTTGTTTCAAAAGAAGCTACAAGCTAAAGAGCTTGGTGTACGAAGAAGTAAATTTAACTTCCTACCCCTATTTCCGTATTATCAGCTCTTGTTATTTCTTTGTCCTTCCATGGTGATGGGATAAGTTTATCATCCCATCAACAGGTGTCTGGTTGATAGCGTGAAATTTGAACGTAAAAACAACTCGAATCGTTGATATCCTAATATAATTAAATAAAGGAGATTTGTCTTTCGCCTCAAGAGCGCCAAATTGACCTTGCGGCTCAACTAAAAGATATCTTTGACAAATAAAAAAAACTCGAATATACCGCTTAATGAAATAAATTTAATTACGCCGTTGAACTAAAAATAAATTCTCCCAGGGAAAGCAGGTACCAGTTACTCAGGAGGGAAAAAGAATCAATCGAGCAAACTTAGTTTTAAGATAAAGTTTTCAGTTCTGACTTTGCTTCTTCTTGAACAGCTCTCAAATATTTTGACTAGGATCTCTTTAGATGTGTTAAGATTTTGAGTTAGTTTGAATCGATAACGGCAAGCTTGGTCCTACGCGACTCAAACCTACGCAATTAACTACTGAGATTGATGAGTGCATAATCTCTCCTTACAAAATTAGTACGTTCTCAGACAGATACGTAAAGAGAAATAAAATTAACGTTAAACCCCGAGTAGAGAACATCATGTCGGCGTTCAGCTCATAAGAAATCAGTATTTAAATAAAAATTTTGTATCAACGCTTAGTAATATATTCATTGCGCGAAGAGAGAAAGCTTCCATTGAAAGTTGCGATGTGCACACAAATATAGAATACATCGGAGTAAATAGGAACGTTTCCTTTTCGAGATAATATACTTCTACCTTTGGCCTTCTAGCAGTGCCTCCTAGTGCATTCCACTTGCAATCAGCTGTCCACAGAACTCAGAATGTAGAGTAAATATTTGTAGCTGCGTTTGAGTTAATAAACCTTCCGTAGTATCTCCAAATCTAGATTACTACCTCGGAAAAGAATGTGGGTTTAGTTCCCGGGAGATGAGGTAACCAAAACAAACCGCTACGGCTTGATGAATAACGCCGCTTATTGGTCAGATATGGGGATATCACCTGTTCATGCCGGTATTATGAGGTAATAAGAGTTACAGGGGTGATTCTTCGATGTTTATGTAATCGAACACACTCAAGTGTATCGGATTGATCGCCGCTAGCGAGTGAAAATGCAGAAAAAGTGGCTTTCGATTTCATGGCTGGGTTGATGTGTAAATTCTTCCGCTTCAAGCATGAGTACCCGCACATGATCACGGCATTGAATTGTGGACCTCGGCTTTTGGAAGAAGTCCCCTTCTTCTCGGGTCTTCTCTTGGTGAGACAGAAACAAAAACAAAAACCTTAAAATAGAGCCATAGGCTCAAGAATGGTTAAAAGTTACCGTGCCTTTGCGCGAACAAAAATCTCCTTATGTTTGAGCCAGTTGTTTTGTTAGAACACGGAGTGAGGAAGAAGGACTCCTCAACTTACTATTTCTTTGGATTTATTCTGGGCGTCATGCCTACCCCCAAAACAGCCGAAGTGACAGAAATTTACTCGCCTTCAATTTCCTTTTGAAATAGAACTTTTGATGAATGTAGATCCAAGTAAGTAATGCCCTGAGAAATCTAAAAAAGAAAAAAATAAATAACTAGCGATGCAACTGCCAATCCTTTAATTTTAGTCTGTCTTAAGTTTCTTCATAATTTTCCGTGCTCCACATTCGATCCAGTTCGGTTAAATTACGGAGGAGTGAAAAAAAAAACAAAAAAAAAACAAAAAAAAACTAGTGTTCTAATAGATAGTTCAATGGAATATGCAATCACGACAAAAGATTTCCTCCTTCCGAAATATAAGCCGACGTTTGTCTGGTGCCGGAATTTGATATGGCGAACTCATTAACGCCCGAGAGCAAGTGGGAAACCGCTTTTTCATATTTTTGAGTTAAGGTACAGCAGATGGCAGTAGAAAGGTTTTGTAGATGTAGACAATTCTAAACACACACACATTTTCACTGAAAACATGTTGATAAACAGCTCTACAGCAGAGAACTAACTGTTTTTTCCTTTTAATCGTAAACAACAGGTACCACTTATGTGCCTGACCGAGAAAGAGCGCTAAAATGCAGATACCGTGAGGGCAGTGGCTGACTTATCTTTCTCTTCTAAAATTGAGATTGAAGCTTACCGCGACTTCTGTTGCATAAAGTGATCGAGAGCGTTGCTACTGTCCTTGGATGGAAAGCTATATAGTCTTTCACTTTGGTAGAGAGGACCTTTCTGTGCTTTGCGCAAGAACTCGCCCTAAATTCCCCGAATAGCGCTCAAACCAGGACCTTTGAGTCCAGAATCAAGGCGGCTGAATATCAAGACAACGTTTCTCCTTCTCTGAATTTCACCGATTTTAGGTGAATTAGAATGCATTGGCGTTGACTCCTCAGGGGCCCATATTTTATAAAAATGATTTACTTGGACAATACGTACTGACATTTTTTCTCACACTAGTTTCTTTCTGTTTTGTTTTGTTTTTTTTCATATTTCATATGGTTAATGCTTCGATAAGACGATTTGAGTCGCATTTACGAGCAGGCTGCAACTAATTCATAGTGTCAACTCAGTCTAGCGATATGATTTTGCCAAACATTTGATGACCTTTTCTAACTCAGTTTTGCCAAACCCACGATCTTTAGGGATCTTATACGAAATTTTGAAAGACATTTCATATCAAAGAAAAAATAAAGCCGTCAATCTTGTTTTTCTCTGTTTATAGTACCTTCCTCTATTCCAAACCTCGCGCCACAGAAAAACCGAGAAAAGGTAAATAAACCAGCCAAAGAGGCTAAATTAATTTAAAATAGAGGCATTTTCGCGAATGAAACAAAGAAATTCAATTACTTTCTCAATCATTAGCTCAACTTTAACTACAATAATATCAGATGTTCAGAAAAGGGGAGCTGTAACTCCAAAGTGCAATTAACCGGTTTGTATTATCCACTTTGATCGAGTTGCGCAGAGCTGAGATTTGAATTGAAAGTTCTACTTTCATATTGTAGTCCCCAAGGCATGAAAATCTAAAGTAATTTATTCATTTTGCGCTATCCTTTTTTGAAAACCTTAAAAAAGTGGTTTCCCCTAGCCGCCGACGCAGTTTCTATACAAACTAGTTATGGTCTTGTTAATGAGTATTGTCTAAGATTCATGGCAGCCAATGAGTGATACTCTCCCTAATGATCTTCGCCCGGGAGGTCCCGTCTCCTACAGGGTTAGGGGTAGGAGACGTTAATTTCACACGCACGAGATTACTGTGTGATAGATGTCCTCCCCTGGGTGGGATGGGTGGTTACTGGGCCCGCAGTGATTGGCGCAAGCTGTTGCGGTGTCCCTGCCTGTCGGCAAATCTTGTAAATAAATAAATAAATAAACATGTTATATTTCGGGAGAATAATACACATTTAAAGCAATTTTTATATAATTGCGTTGAAAATAAGCTCCAAATCTCTGATCCAATTTCACATTTTGATGCTTGTCACGAAAATAACCTCCGCGATAATAACATTAAAATCCCTATTGACTAGGTTGCATTAAAGTTAAGTAATTAAGCCTAAATTCATTCACATTCACACTTGTAGGCGCTCTCTGATAAATGTTTTTGCTAACCTCGCAGACTTGTTTCTGGATTTCGGTCTAAAGCCCTGAAAAACAAGATGCAAAAGTCTTATCTAGAGCTGCATTCTCATGTAAATATGATGTCACAATTGTTTGCTCTTCTATTGTTCATTAAAAAATTATTGTTCTTAATTTAGTAGTGTGAATCGGTATTGTTCTCCAGATGTGTGCACTCTCGCTTTCTCTTCAGCTTTTTCTAGCAGGTTCATTGTTTAGTTTTTTCTGCCGAAGGATATTTAAATTCAAAACACCTCTTCAGCCAGTGAGAATGATTATAGACTACCGCAAGAGGTGCAGTTTGTTCACAGTTAGTGTCAGCTGTTACTAAATTTTGAAATGGTGAATTTTTTAACGGTAAATTACAACGTGAACAAGTGGATATTGTCAGTTAAAAAAATCAATCTCTTGGCTGGCTGCTTCACATGAGAAATCGTTCTGAATTAGAAGTGTATCACTGTACCTGAGCAAAATGGCTGACAATACGGCACAAACTGCAACTTCAAACTTTACACTGGAGGACGAAGATATCTACCTTCGGATCATTAGTATTCCCGGATTCTGGTTGACTTTAGCTGTTATTGGCTTCGCATTATCTGCAGTTACTGTGATTTCAAATGGCATCTTGATCCTCGTGATTTACAAGAATCCTCAGAGATCGTTTCGCTCGCCTCCAAATTTCCTCATCGCCAATTTGAGTGCGTCTGAATTTCTTCTTGGAATTTTTGTTGTATATTTAGTGGCTTTGAGGGATTTGTTCCGATATTTTAGGGTAGCTGTGCCGTATGTGGGTGTCTTCAGGAATGCCATCTACATAGTGCTTTCTGCAACATTATTGGTGGGCAGTACCACCATCGTTGCTTTGTCAATTACTTGCTATGTTGCCGTCAACAAACCGATGATGTACAAAACCAGGCTCACTGCAGAAAGAATGAAGATTCTAATTAGCTTTATATGGATTGCTGCTCTCCTAATTTCCCTTTTTCCTGCAACAGAGTTACCCGAAAGGATGTATTCGCTAGTTTATCTCCACACACATGTTTCGCTACCGGCCATATTGCTACTGGTTGTGTACATGAACGTATTTCGGGCGCATTCCAGGCGAACTCAAGAGGTTTACCGTAGCCTCAAAGACTCGTCAGGGATACGGAGGAGACAGATTGCGGCTCGGGAAAGAAATATGCTTGTCGTTGTGGTGACTATTCTTGCCTTGTTCTTCATCACATACATTCCACAGTATATCACTCTTCATTTATCGCATTTTTGCAAAAGCTGCCGAGATTCTATTGCATTCCATCAAATTGACATCATCTCTTCTCGTTTCTTGTTTCTCAGTTCCGCGATTGATCCATTTATGTACGCTTGGAGGATCAAAAAATATCGCCAGGCTTTGAAAAATTGTTTGAAAAATCTGTTCATCATCGGAGGCTCACGAAGCATGTCAAGATCAACTGGACGAACTCTCTTTGCCGGGAAAAAGTTTAAAGATAGTGATAATTATTTCCCAAGTCCAATTCATTGACGTCTAGGGGAACACTAATTTTTAAGTCAGTAGTGAGGAAAAGTATTTTTTTAGTATGTAATATATGAACGATTAATGAACAATGTCGTACTGAGATATCTCTATCTGCTTGGCTTTTCCCGCCTTATAGAAAATTCGCATGAGATAAAGAATTTGAAGCATCGATAATAAATAACTAATTAGACGTTTTGATTTGTAGTATTGCTGAGTATTTTGCTCTGTTTGCATTTAAACTTCCCAAAATACGCCGCAAATTGTATAAATACTCAGCGGTACTTCAAAACAAAACGTCTCATAAGATATATTTATGATTGTCCTCTAAATTTCTGTAAGCCGTTCTTCTCTCCTTCCTGAAACTAAAGTACAAAGTAAAAACTTATCCAATAACAAAAATCTATATTGTAAACTGTATTTAATAAAGCTGAGAGACACCTGAAGAATGGTTAACCGAATATTGACTCTTGTTGAGTTATGATAATTTCTCCCCTTTTTAATCAATATCTTCCCTCCGATAATTCATATCGGAGCGGGAGGGGGAGGGGCGGAGGGGGGTTGGGAAAGTCTGTTTTCACCACCATTGTCGCTTTGGGGCAAATTCTGTAATCTCCTGTCGTGACACTTTCTGAAACTCTGAAACTCGCCCTCCTTAAGGAGAGAGATTATTTGAGCTCTTAAAGGGTGTTACATTTTGGAAGACGTAAGAGTACACGTTTTTGGTTTTTTTGTTTTGGAAAACTGACAATGTTTCCTTGAAAGCTGGTTATGTGCTGGTGACTCACATTGATGATATTTATAAAAATGCAAAATTGGTTGAATGCATAAATTGCTGACGTTATTGGACAGATGTTTGAGAATGTCGTCCATAGTGACTTGAAATGACTGGAAAGCTTGTTCATAAAAATGTTCATTTTAAGGTAATGATCTTAAACAGCTTTTTGCAAGCGAACTTTCTGTATATGAATTGGTTGCTGTTTAAAGACCGTTCTATCCGTGAATTGAAGTGAAGGAGCCGCAAAAATATATTTCAGGTATTTATTTCTTTTTGATGTTTGAAATGTCGATACAATATAAGATAAAATTTAGCGTCACTGAATGAAATGAGGGAAGGGCGGATCTTTCAATTGTAAAAGAAAAACTGGTATTTGTGCATACTCGATATTCAAACATTCAAGGCAATGATGAATTACTACATATGCTCTCCTAATTTTAAGGGCTGATAAAGAAATTCAACGTTATTCAGGTCTGCTATCATATACTGCACGTATCGTTACAAAAGGGAAGATAAGAAATTTTAAAAGTGATTATTGAATTTTTCCCAAACCACTTTTTAAAACTGGAATGATAATAAAAATGACAACATTGTCATGTTTTTAAATCCGGTAAATTGTTTGCCGCGACACGTTCTTTCTGGCGCGCACACACAGGCAGAAATATATGTACAAGGAAGAATAAAGGAACCTTAGCAGAACATGGCATTGTAAAGGTAGGGGAGAAGTCATTTCTACAAGAATTTCTTTACAAATTTTCTTTAACGGCGTAAGGACAATTTCATGGTATTCTGGTTCTATAAATTGTTGTTATTATCAAATGTAGTGAAATATGACACAAAGCAGCGCCATTAAAAAGAAAATTGTCATCGTCATAACGTTGATAAAGCTGTATCTTGTCGTCTTTAACTTCTTTGTGAGTTCTTTGTGAGGAAAGCAGCCTCGGCATCTGTGATCTATAATGAGACTCCGCTAGCGTACAAGGCACTTAACCTGGCAGAAAAATGCATCATAATCAGTTTATGTTACTCAATCAAATTATTTAAAAGTTGACTCAATATTTAAAACTTCCCCTCAGCCCATCAGCTGAAAACAGGAATATGGTGTCCAGAAGGACCTTCTGGGGTTCCACTAAGCACTGTTGTCTTTCTTTTTTATAGAGTACCAAGTTAATAGACTAAATATAAAATTTAAGCCGATTCCAGAGGAATGGAAATCGTTATTGTTCATCGAAGGTTTTTGGTCTAGCGAGAATACCGCACATGTCGCTAAAATATTCCGGCCTGCGTAGGATGCATTCGTGATTAGGCGAGTGACACACCCACGGGAGAGACACGTGGCGGTGAAGCCCTGAGGAGGATTCGAAAATTGATTAATTGTTCCCTGGCAAATAAGAAAAAAAAAAAAACAAAGATGCAACGGAGTTGACTTCCACTTCCCTGTCGAGTCCGATCTTCGTTCCTCCGCGATCCCCGAGAGGGGACGACCCTTACACGTTAGCTCCAAACCATGCACGTGACATATATAAGATTTAATTTATGGAGAGGACTTGATCAACAAAACAAAGACATTAATGCTTTTCTTCGCTCAGTTTTCAACTAAATTGTACTGAATAAACGATCACAAGAAATCAAGGCACATTCTTTGTTCTTAGAAGAAACAAATCCTTTTACTTGTCGTTGTTTACAATGTTCGATACTGGCGATACTCGGGCTCCTTGGTCGTTCACCGTTTGCTTTGTATCAAAGCTATTGTTATTTCTCCTCTGTGTGACGTCTTTTCCTTATCTTTACCTCACTTGTTTTGATGGACATTACCAATCTCCACGTTGTCTTACGTGTATAACTTTGAATCAAAACCTAATATCGCGAGTCCCTTTAAACGTATCTGAACTCAGACTCCCATTCTGGATGCTACTTTTAAACAGCTTTGATAGAATTGACATATTTCAAGACCCGGACGAGGAACTTTCTTTCTTTTTCCTCTCGTTTTCTGTTAATTTTACAAACAGTTGCGCTGATATCGGAAGTAAGCCTTCAGAGAGTCGTCCCAACTTTTAACTCGAGCTAACTTTTGCAAGCTCCAAAAGGACATTATATGGAACTCACTTCCACCTTGGAGACTTTATATCCAACACCATGCATTGATAATATGTACTTTGAGGTTCGTGACGGATACAAAAAGTCTGCCAATCTTCTTGGAAAATTTTGTGCAAGGAACTTTTCTGGTATTGTGAGATCCAGTGGACAGAATTTGTTTCTAAATCCGTCATATTACGATTCTCTTCTCTGGCTAACTGATCATTACAAGATGAGTTATTCTTCTTGGAACACACCTGCTAATAAAACCGGCAAGTATTGTCTTGATGAAAGTGCCTAAGAATGTGATGCATTTTATAAGAGATATAAGCTAAATGAGATGAAGAGGAGATGCTATACTCAAAATATTTCAAGTGTTTTGTATTTTTTTCTGTATTTGTTTTATTGTCTGATAGTCGAGCCAAACTTGGATAAAGTGCTCAAGAGTCTGTACGTTCTTTTCAACCATTCCTCGCCTTTATGGTGCCCAGCACAAGGTACACCAGCGCCATTCATTGTGTGGAAAAAGAACGGCATAGTGGTACTAAACAGTACAAGTGTGATGTATCAGCTGAACTTTACGAAAGGAAGTAATGACAGTTACATTTGTGAGGTGAAGAGACGTGATGGTTTTGACAAAAAAGAAATAAGTCTAGTCATAGAACGTGAGTTTTTGACATTTTGACATTTGTTCACGCTTTTCAATCTCTTATTTATAACTTTCAATTACTCGCAGGTAAATTAAATGACCCAGGAAGGAAGGAGTTTACGCTTATACGTACGTATTCATACCTTCACTTCCAACCCCATTTACTAATTAACAAATAGAGAAGCCTTGACTATGCTCTGTTCAGTATCAAATAACGCAGGAAGCGGCTAGAGCACTCAAGAAATGTAGGGAGAAAGAAGAGACGTAGTCGAGTACTAAAGCTATCTGTATGCTCTGACATCGTCATGTTTTGTATGAATTTTAACAGTTTATATCTATTGTTTAGATATATTATCAAGTTTCATCGTTCCTGTTTTGTTCTGTCTTGTTTATGAACACGAAACTACCGGGTATATAATATACGAGTGTGAGCTGTATTTGATTGTTATTACCGCACGTAAGGTTACAATCTAACTGAGCGTGAATTCCTTCAAAACTTGGGCTGTCCCTTAGCTTGCTGTTTTTGAGGATTTTTCGTGTCTGCACGTTTTCAGTGCTGCTCAATGAGTAAACCTTGTGGTGCCAAAACTAACGGAAATAAATGTAAAACATTGAGGTGGCCGAATCCAGACGATTTTTCGGAAGAAAAAATAACAAACTTAATGATTTACAGAATTCTTAGCTGAGAGTTTCAAGAGTCTGAACCAGTTTTTTCAAGGGTCAAAAAGTGAGCTACTGAACGAATCCCTCATCGAAAATGATGGGTAAAATGGGACTCCTTAAAAATTCTTGGATGAAAAGATCATCCTCCAGCTTGTTTATTTTGTCGCCATTAATGCCCTCAGTATATTTATCTGTTATTTTCGTTGTATTCCTACTTTATTATTTGTTCAACGCAGAGCAAAGAGAGCAAGAGCAAGAACATGCTGTGTCCCCTACTCGAAGTAAGTGTACCTTGGGCTTTCAGTGACCTTAAATACAAATTAAAAGTTTCAATGAAAACAAGAGGAGGTAGTCTCTTGTCAAAAGCAGGGGAATGTTAAATCACATCTTAGAATCTTTAGTTAACAGAGTAGTTCTGTCTATCTGTGAGAGGCCAGTTGTACCACACAGTTCGCTGCATCATGGTGCACGGAAGCGGAATCAGTGAAGATCCCAGTTGGCATTAACATGAAATAAAATGGCAGAACCAAGTTGTGGTAAAATAAATCAAAGTTCCTCTCCAAGTTATTCCTATCACATGATAAATAAGCTTTAAAAGAAGTACGACTAAAACGTCCATGGCCTTTATCATCAAATAAAGTTGTTGCGAGAATGGATTAGTACATAATCGAACTGTCGATTTTGTTTACTTTGTTTCTTTAAATGTAGGAAAGTGGAACAAGAGCACAAAGGAAGGAGACAGCAAACTCAGACTTTCCACGGTAATGAAGTAAGTTAGCAGTGGGACATACCCAGGTTCAAATTCCATGGGCGACGTACGTTAGAACTATGACATAATTGACG